CTCTTTGCAGCTTGAAATTGTGCAGAAGGGAGATCCATCAGGTGAGTGAATTAACTCAATCCTTTTATGGAAAATTTAACAATCTCACTTGAAAATTAGCTCTTCTAGGAAACTAATCAAGCATCTTCTCCGTTCGTCCCATATTCTTCCTGATTCGATTGTGCCTCTCCCACCCCCTCTGGCAGCATAACTTACTGGAATCTATCAAGTTAATCATCCTTGGTTTTACGTACCTGATTTCTGTACAACCATAGAAAAACATCAATAATAATTTGTTAGAGATGAACCAGTGCTGCCCTGCTAGTTGTTAAAGCATGAAGTTTGTTGGTCAAAAGTCAAAAACATATGTCCGGATGAACTTTCTTGTCTATTATGTTCCTCGTTTGTCTTTCTATCTATGTTTTGATCTTAATTGAATAGTTTAATTGATGTGGTGTTATCAAATAATCTTGATCTGGTGTCATTTATAAATTTCATTAGTGTTTATGTTAATAAATGTGTGAGAGAGCTTTTTCACTTTCTAGTGGAGATGTGAAGCTCGACTAGACATTGATTTTCACAATCAAACTGGATCAAGTTAAACATGCCCTTTATTTTTCTAGTTCACTAAATTTGCTAGCTAAGCTGTCTTGGCTGGTAAGGGGATTTCGATGTCTCAAAATCAAATGCCACCTGCCCATAGTGATTTTGCATTTCATCCTTCACATGCATTTTATTAATGTATTACGTTTGACCTCTTTTAATTAATTTGTTTCATTTGTCTCCAGGAATGTTGTTTTTCTCATATATGGTAGAGGATAAGAATGTCAATGGCCCTTCATATGTCGAGTTTCTTGTGCATATCCATCGACAAATCCAAGTCAAGATGTCTTGATCATCCTTTCATTTGATGCGGTTGGAGAGGTGCATTGCCTTAGCTGGAAGTGCATTAAGAAGGCGGCAAAGAAAGAAACATATGAAGGCCTGAACATCGGCAGGATCTTCTACTTAAGCTTTTCTGTACATATTCAGCAGAAAACCTGATAAGGACGTCATGCTTCTGTTCATTTTTATTAAATTGAAGGTCATGCCTAGAGATACAAAAGAACCTCCTCCCCCGCTATAAAAAGCCAGATTGGTGCTTCATGCTGGCTTGGTCACTTAGGGAGCGAGAATAAGATAGTTTTGTTGAGAGGGATTCTTGATCATAATGAAATCTTTTCGAAAAGAACGTGATAATAATCTATATGTGCCATTTTGGTTTTTTTTTTTGTTTTAATTTGTTTTTACTCTGAAACTTCTGTGTTTACTGTATGAGAGAATTGTATGCGAGCAGGTGGTTCATGTAATGAACTATTTTTGGTTAAATAGGTAAACCTTTCTGCCTCAAGCTGCTACGAATTGATGATTTAGCTTGAAAATTTAGTACTTCTATGGAAGTGCTAGCAGTTGGAAGGTTGAATTTACTGCTTCAGCTTGGAGAACAAATGCTGAGTTTACTTGATGAATGACACTTACCGACACAAGTGCACCTTGAGGCAAAACTCAATGTAATTGCGTTATGGAATGGATATGTTAATAAGCAAAATGAAAATAACTCCTGTCTCTTATCATATTAATTAATTAATTAATTAATTAACAGCTTTAGTTAGGATTTTAATATTATCATTCACTATGAAATTCGTATATAAATTATCATTTTTTGTTTTAAAAAATTTATAAATATTTAAATATAACACTCAATTATAAATAAATAAATAAATAAATAATATTCAATATTTATTAATTAAAATTTAATTAAGTTGAGTAAAATTAAAATAAAATTTACAATTTATTAATTACATATAGTGAAGGAAGGGGTCTAGATCAGATAAATTATTAAATTCATGTCTGCTCTATTACCCATTTGGGATTTATAAGTTTTTTTTTTTTTTTTTTTTTTTATATGTGCAATTTTTCTGTACCTTGTTGATTACAGATTTTGTCTTGTCCCATATTAAAGTAGAGATTTAGACTGATTTAATGGATCACACCGCTAAAAATACCCCATCACGTTTAGCGTTTTCATAATATCCATCTCTCTCTCTTATATTTTAATAAATGTGTCTTGAGGATCGAAAAAGTGTAGCATATACACACGAGTATTTTTTCAAGTAAAAACAAATTAGCACGTACCAACAGAATAAACTTAACATAGGAATTCACAATTAACACGTGTCTTAGTTTATTGGCAAAAGAAATGATTTTAATAATATATATATATATATATATGCCTTTTATATCACCCTGTAAAATTATTCATCAATTATAAAATGGTTATTTGGGGTGAGAGAGGCTCGAACTCTCGACCTCAGGATAACTCAGATAGCTATGAGACCTACGCGCTAGCCAACTGCGCCACCACCCCTTGGATGTTCAATTTGATAAAAATATTAATAATAATAAATACTATTTTATGTAATTTTCACAAATGAATAAATAAATAAATGACCTTCACAAATTATTAAATTAACCGGACTTTTGTGATATTCATGTTTAAAGATAATATTTACTTTTTATTCTAAACTCTATTAGAAACATATTAATAACATTTGTTCCATTAAAAAAAAATTTAACATTAATATAATTCATTGTATGATTAATTATCCGTAAACTAATAAAACTTGACATAATCCGTATATATAACTCATAGACACGAATAATTAAGCACATTTAAGTTTCAATTTGAAATATAATTGACAAGTTAGACCAATTAAGAATTGAAATTAAAACACTTTTATTTGTTTAGACTCTTTTTTTATCTATTTTAACCAATTAAATAACTTCATCAATACATTTTATCAGTGTATTTACATATATAGAATATTATATGCTACATATATTATAATATAAATAAATCTGACCTATACACTGAAAAAAAAATAAAAATAAAACCTATATATTGGAAAAATTAGTTTTAATTTTCCTTCATTTTAACATTTCATGATAAACAACAAAATATGACGTAGGCTAACAAATAAATACAACTCTTAATTATTATTTAGAGTGAGCCGTACAGAACATCAAGGTTCCATGGTGTAGTGGTTAGCACTCTGGACTTTGAATCCAGCGACCTGGGTTCGACTCCCGGTGGGACCTATATTGTTTTTTTTGTACTTTCATATTTTTTTAACCCCTTCTCCTTTCTACCATAACTGGAACTTCTCTGAACAATATCCAAAATTGAAAATACTCACTAGCCACCTACTCTAACATTGCAGTTGCCATGATTCCCACCAAAAAAAAAAAAGTAATGATAATAATAATAAACATTAAAAAAAAACAAAGAAGAAGATTTCACTTGTCAGATACAACAGTATCAACCCAATTAGATCTTCAATGTCTATACTGGATTTTGAAGAACAATACACATAGCAAACTGAACCATGTATCCGTATAAGAGAACTTCTCCATCCTGCCAATATTCTCCCTACCAGAGCAATAGATTGTTTGCTAACAAATCATGTACTTTAGCCACTTCCAAGTAATTCACAAAGATAATAGCTCGTATTGTTCATATTCACGTTGAGTAAAAAACTTACAAGAAAGAACTAATAAACAAACATGACTTACTTCTGTTGGTTCCTTCTGTCATTCTCCATGATTACGGTGATGGTTTTGCCCGAAATTTTTCTCTCTTCTGAAGGCCTTAAAGAGATCAATGCCAAGACAAGCATTAAGCAAGTTCATCCCTGCCATACCAAACAGTGCAAGAGGCAACTCTACCCCCTTGCCAAACTTAGAAGCATCTTTGATTAGCTTCGCTGTGATAAGAACGTGAGACACAAGCCTGGCGAAAATGAAGGTAATCCAATTGAGAACCCATTCTATCTTCACCATTCTGCTCCTGGCATCCCGAACACCAGCCATTCGCCGCACTTTCCTCACATGTAGAAAAATTGAATGCAGCTGTTATTTAAACACGAATTTCAGATTCAGTCTCTCTACAGCAGCATCAACCTCAATAATGCATAATTATAAGAACCTTGACACTTGAGCTTTTATTTGATAATTTTTTCTTTTGCATGGAAAATTAAGATTTTGCTTTTATTAATTCTTTTTTAACAAAATCTGACAACAGAGTGACATTATTCAAGGGCCTACCATAGGGTTGGTCATATTTACTTTGATAAGAAGCATCTTTCCTACGAAATTTCATGTTTCCCCTACTGTTAAATTGAAATATTCTCTAGCTTGTTGTAGTCATAGAATTCCAACATTGAATTTCGAAAAAAATTGTCTAAAAGCCGTACTATCTGTCAGCGACATGGCCCTGTGAATTACAAGAATACATGGTCCTTGAAGTTCCACAGCACAAGATATCTAGGAATAAATTACAATTATACAAAAATGGATAAAACTAAAAGATGGGCAATAATGAAGAATTTTTTTGAAGAAACTTAAACAAACCTCACAAATCAGCGTGAGAATCAGGTAGTTGATGGTGACATTCCTATACAACGCAAGTGTAAAGCAGACAAGGAGCAGCAGATGATGCGCCAGAATGGATGGGACCAAACCACTGTATAATCGGTAATGCAGCATATCCCATTGATCATATGCAAAGTAACCACAGGAGAAGCACAAAGCATGATATGCCCATGGCCAAGTAACTCCAAACAACTGTGAGTGCTCGAACATCCCATATGAACCATTGTTTAACCACTGATTAAGCAGAATGAAAACCACTGCACAGCATGAGTTTAAACTTCTTTAAATGAAACAAAATATTAAATCCAAATAAGAGAAGGGTTTGCAACCAGGGAAAAAATGAATTATAACTAGCAACCCTTGATATCTTGTAAAAATAGGATCTTGCAATTAGTTTGCACTTATACATATAACTACTGTAGTAAAATAATTTCTTTTCTTTGTACTTTTTGGTCAGCCCAAAAAAGGGGCTTGTAAAGTCTTAAGGCAGGAAAAAATTTGCATCAATAACTCCATCATGAGAGGAATTCATACCCCATTTTGATGTCTGGCAAAATATTACCATGATGAGAGGAATTCCTTACACCTCTTGTACATAAAAAAACATACATAATAGTACAATATCAATAAGATTTTTCTTCAAATTTTGTTATCTTCAGTCTCTCTCTAATGACAATCAATAAAAATGATTCCATTTTGCTAAGAGGGCAGGATAAATAAAGATTCTATCCTAACCACTGCTGGTCTTCACTGTTGCGCATATCATTTCATAGATTAATAATTCCCACAGTCGAAGTTTTATTTTGAAATCTTTTAACAAGAACAGACAATCAGCATAATTACCCAGACCTCTTATAAATATTATCATTGTGCTCAGCAGCTGGAAGGGGCCAATAAATTAATTTAAGAGAAGCTGACAAAAAATGCTATGGTAATAGAGACTCATCAATACCTCGCCCCTCTGTAGCATCTCAAGTGAACCCTCGTGCTTGCAGCCTACAGCCCTCACCCCTCAGCAGTGCCTAAAGTGCGCTCGTGAACAGCTTAACTCCATGACTGGCAAGTGGAAAACTCGATATTAAGCGTCTTGCTCTTGTGCTTAAAAAGGTAGATTCCTCTTTGTTTACTCAGATCAAGTTTCTGGTTCTGTTGTTTCTTTCTCTTCTTTTTTTATTTTCTATTTCTGGGTTTTGATCTTTATCATGAATTCAACATGCTGCGGGTTTCATACTTGGATATGATATATTACCAACTGTAAACTCCTATTAACAATGTGGTTTTATTTTGAAATAGAGCGATAAAAATCAGAAACATGAAAAATTTACATGTATTTCATGTACTTCAGTTAATAATCAAACCGATCGAGATAATTCGCTGTTTCGATTTTGGTTATATGTGCAAATTTGATTGGTTTGGTTCGGTTACTTTCGTCGATCAGTTTTTTTGGTTAAAAAAAAAATATTAACCGAAATTGACCGAACTAACCGTTGCACACCTCATGAGTTCTCTAAGAACACTGAATATAGCAATTGGGCAAGACAGAACATAGAATAGCTAGATAAAACAAATGAATGAACCACTTAGTTCTTCTCTATATCTTACTCTCTCTCTGTTGGTGTACAACAGAAAGAACACTTTTTCATGAATTGCTGATTGATCAATGTTGATAACATCCGTCAGTTCAGATTTTAATTTCTTAAAGGACTTAGTATTTGTGAAAATTCCTACCCATTTACTTATTTTACACATATTCTTGTCTTCTACGTTTTATTTCTTTATTTCCAAGGTTTCCATTTTACAGCATATATGACCTCCAGCTACTAAGAGTTTCTTAATGGTCAAATAACGTGTTGCTTAAGTATATGTTATTGGAACAAAAGCCCCGAGATGCATAACCTTATTAAGGCAAAGAACTGAGCCACCTTCAGAAGTGATCACCCAGGAACCAGAACTGATCAGCACCTAACAGTACATTTCTAAGTTCATATGGAGACTTGGTGGCTGCACTGGTTAAACTGCTGCTAAGTCATGCCAAAGGCTTCTATTCCAATTCTAGCTTGATTTTATTTAACCATTCAGCTGCAGCGAGTTTCTTTGAGGCTGGACTTTAATGTTCAAATAACAGATTACTTGAATAAGTACAGGTTATTTGGAAGAAAGGCACCCAAATCTATCACTTAAGCCAAATAACTGAACTACCTTTAGAAGTGATCACCTATGAAAAAGAACTAATCAACCCCTAACTGCATATTTTTTCTTACTTTTTGGAGACGAGGTGGCTGCACTGCTTAAACTGCTGCCAAGTCATGCCAAAAGCTTTGATCCCAATTCTCGGTTGAATTTAGTTTTTTCTTTTTTTTTGGATAGAAAACAGGACCTTCAATCTTTACAAGCTAATAAATTCAAAGCATGAAAATTATTTAAGCAGTTCCATACTGTGAATCAATTATTTATTCACTCCCACTGCATTTTCATAACTCCTAATCAATGGATTCAATATAACTGTAAAGACCAATGGCATGCCCCTTAGTTACATGATCAAACTTCCTAAATATTACATAATGACTCTCACTTTGAAATATATCCCTGTGATAGATATCCCATGAACAGTTTGGTGGAGGAACCGTCCAAATTAACCTCATAAGTAACAACAATGCACGAACAGTCTATAGGAGATCAGTTGAACATCTTTGTTCTTATAAATGTTTGGAACAGGCCATCCACTTTGTCATACATTCGACTTCGTCTTCCTCATATTTCCGAAATGACCGTGATATCATGGATACGCAAATAACTAGTCTAGATGAGATTTTTACAGTCAAATTTTCTTTCATTTGAGTGGAGATTTATGCTTTCTTGAGTGATCATCTTCAGAATCCACTCTTGAAATTTCATTTGAAATTCTATCAACTGAGTTTTTAACAATTTTCCAAATACCTTAGGTCTGATTTCCTGATGAATTTCAAACAAAATTTGAATATCTTCTAAACATAAAGTCTTAAATTACTCCGTAACCCAGTTAACGGAAACGTCACGCTATCCATACGGCCAAACAAAAAAGAGAAAAGAAGCCTACAGCAGGAACCCAACGAACACCAAAACCAAATTAACCCAGCTCCCCCACCGCTAATCTAGAGAAAATATCTATCGAAGCAAAATCCCAATTCAATAGAAAGGGAAGAAAAAAGAGCAGAAGAGAACAAGGAAAAGGAAAAAGGGGAACCTGAAGCAGAGGTGACGGTGGAGTGGAGGAGAGAGACAGAGGTGTTGACGAAGAGAGGTTCACGAGAAATCCAAAATCGAATAAGCCAGTTAGCTATTTGGTAAAAGCAGCCACCAACGACGACGTAAAGCAGCTCTCTCCTATGATTGAACACTATCTCGAACAGAAGAGAGACGGACCAGAGAACCAGAGTGGCCATAAAGAAAGCACCAGCCTTGCTGCTGCTCTGAGTATTGCTTGTTCTTGCCATTTAATCTGTAAACGGAGATCGCCGAGACAGTGAGCGGAGCGGTGCGACAACTGCTTTTTGTGGTGAAGACTTTTCCAAACCTTTCAACTGCAGATGGAGAATTCTTGTTTTACCCGCAATATAAACTTTATATCTTTTTTCCGCCAAAATATTAATTTCAGCTTATTAATAATTTAAAATATTTAGATTAATCCTGTACTTTTTTTACGAATTGTGTTTATATTTTTTGAAAATTTCCAATTATTAATAAAATATGACGTCATATCTGACGTAATCTTTTTTAATTTTACAACATAAATCGGTTCAGTTAAAAAAACTGGAGCAGGTCCATCAATTAAAACCCTAAATCCCCAGATTCCCAACTTCATTCCGTGATTGCCCCTCCTTGCTACTCGATCTGGACTCTTGTTCGCGATCTCAATCGGCGAATCCCCAAATCACTGGTGCGTCTTCCTCTCGAGTCTATCTTGTCTCTCGTCGCGCTCTCACTCACTAGTTCTTGTCCGTCGTCGTGCTCTCACTCATCGGTGGCTGCTTGTCGCTCTCAATTACTTCAATGTCTTCCTCTCCAGTGAACGGTAACAAGTCTCTTGCTTACTCCAGTGTCTTCCTCTCCAGCAAAAAGCGATTAAAAGGAGTAGGAGTAGGTTAATTTGTATGGGAAACCGTTGCAAACCTTGCCACACCGCCAGCTTTATCAGACGTGTATTGGGATGAGGCTGTTACCAGATAAGCACAGGTGGTCACGTGAAAAGATGAAGAAGCTCTTAGAAGGGTTAAAGGTAAAAGAATTTTGATAGGCTTCGTTAGTGTCTCCTTTGAAAGGGATTTTGGTGTGTTCTCTCGCTCTTCGCGTATGGTTTGTCCTTGCCCTTCTGGAAGAAGACAAAAGAGAGGCACACATCTGATCTGCCATCGTGAAAAGAAGTAGAATTCCACAAGGACAACCATTTGCGACCACGACAGAGCTTGAATACAAGAAGAGAATGATGGAGCACGCGAATGGAAGGAAACCGTTGTGTGAAGAGACAATTTAGCTTTCTGTTTTTTGAGGTTTTGGAAAGGTAGAAGAGAAGGAAGAGAAAGTATAATGAACCGATTTGATTTACTCTACTCAGACCGGTTCAGGCCGGTTTACCAAAGGGCTTTTTTTCCACGTCATTCGTCACGTGGGAAACCAACCAACAAATGAAATGCACACACGTGTCGATTCAGTGACACGCGTCAAACACGTGACTCAGTTTGAAGGAAACTAGAGGTATGAATAATTTAAATATTTTAAAATAGTACAAAAATTAAATTAATATTTTGGCTCATATTAAATTTTTATTATAATATCATCATTTGTAGCTGTTTTAAATAATAAATAATAAAGTGAATAAGGTAATAAAATTACTATGACTTAAAAAAATTATAAATATTTTAATTAAAAAAAATTTTAAATAGTAACCACACAAATCAAGTACTCATTTATATAAATTACTATAAATTTTTTAATTAAATATTTAGTTGTTTATTTTATGGAACCCATGATCGGATGATTAAACATGGTGTTTTATTATATTATAAATATTATTTATGTATTACATCATTAATATTAATATAATTATAATATTTTGTTACGAATGAACAAGATATTGAAAAATTATTCATATATAAAATTATAATTATCGAAACGGGTATTTTTTGCATAAAAAGTGTATTTTACTACAATAACTACAGAAATGATACGGATTATTCAATAATCGAAGTCAATTTACTTTATTAAAAAAATATATATAAATGAATTTGTATGAAATGATTTCGCAGAATTCAACTAATTATTTTGATTTCGAGATATTATTAAGAAATAAGAATCGCGTTGTCAAAATTTTTTTGCTAATTTCGGTATCTTATTGAATGAAATTTTCGGATATTGCTGACGTGTTAAGTTAATTTTAGATGTTTTTAGTTATTTTTGTAAATATTATTTTTTGTTGTCTTAATTACCCAACAAAGCAAACTAAAATAATTTATACTTAATTATAACCATAGGAATTAAATGGAAAGATTTAACGGTTAGATTTTATCGGAGACGCATCACGCGGTTCCCACAACTCAAAAAGGAAACAAATGATCTCAGCCTCTTCCGTTAATTGAAAGAAAAACGCGAAGACAGACAGAGATATCTCGAAAATCCGACGTGGCAAGATATGAGGGTCCCGCAGAGTGCAAGATACTCACTCTCACACAGGGCGGAGCATGTGGAAGCAGGAGGCGCCACGTGTACAACCAACTAGTCCACGCATGTCCACGTGGCGACCCATGGGAGGCTAGTCAAGATCGCGCGTTACTTGAGCCTCTTATCAACAAATTAAATCTCCCTCTCTAATTTCCCCTCATGCTTCTTTCCCTGTCTTCTTCCTCTTCTTCTTCCTCCTCCTCCCTTAAGGTTTCTCCCTTTCGCACGCCATGACTGCTGTAGCTACAGCTGCTGCTCTCTCTCTACCTATCTCTCTCTGTAGATCATCCAAGTTTAACACTAGAAAGGTAATTGTTTTTTTGCTAGTTTGTCACGTTAGCTTCTTATTTTAGACAAAAGGCTAGTTTTAGTTGCCGGTGAAGTTTTTGCTCCAAATTCAAGAATATTATTGTTTTTGGTATTTTTCAATGTTTAATTTATCTGCATAGCACTTGTGTGGTAAAATTCTGTTGTCCTAGCAATAAGATCGCGCTTTTAGTAGCCTCCTCTACTAAATTTATTTGGAATTTGCCCCATCCGGAGAGGTAGAGTTAAAGTAAATTGAATTCTAATTTCTTTGGTGTTTACATTCTAACTACTTGAATTTTTTTCTCCTAAATGAATTGGGAGTTGCTGGTCTCCAGCGCCAACTTTGATTAAAAATGGTTGGTGTGATGTATTTCTTTGCCTAAGTCATCTGATTCATGAATTATCTCAAGAAAAATAGACTTAGGTAGGCATTTTGTGTTACTCTGACTGATGGTGGGTGCTCAGGGAGTTAAAGGAAGGTTTGAAGTCTTTGCCGTATTTGGGGAGGAAGGTGGGTTGGTGGAGAAGAAGAGTCCGTGGGGCACGCTCTTTGACGTGGAGGATCCAAGGTCTAGAGTTCCTCAGTGTAAAGGGAAGTTCTTGGATGTAAATCAAGCTTTGGAAGTGGCTAGATATGATATTCAGTATTGTGATTGGCGAGCTCGGCAAGATCTCCTCACAATCATGCTTCTCCATGAAAAGGTCTCTATCATCTATCTCATTTTTAGTCAAATTCTCTTCACTTTCTCAAGAAGTATTTTTGAGGTTTCAACTGATAAGATTGCCTTATTATCTTTGTTATTGGATCATGACTACGATTCTCCCTCTTTATTGTTTGTACTATAAATTTTGGTTAGTAGTTATTAGTTTCTGACATTTGATTCCATCTATCGATATTTCTCGTATAAAATTTAATAGGTTCATAATACCAGTTACAAGTTTCTAGTTGCTATTGCAGTTAGCTTACTGTCGGAAACTTTTTTAGGTTGTGGAAGTTCTAAATCCTCTGGCTCGTGATTACAAGTCCATTGGCACTATGAAGAAGGAGCTTGCCGGGTTGCAGGATGAACTAGCCCAAGCTCACAGACAGGTCTGTAGAAGTTTCAATTAATAACATAAAATCTATGCATTTCATGCACATAAATGTTCCTTGATAGCCTGTTAAGATGGTTTTTGCATCACTAAAAGAAGTTAAGACATGCTGCCAAGCCATCGGTGGCCAAGTGCCATGCATTTTCTTTATGTAGTTTGAAGTTGAGGATTTGACCCTGACTCATGGAGGATCCAACTGAGTATATGCTTGTTCCAACTGTGCATCTTATAGCCATT